AAGAGACAATAAAGATCACTACATAATACTAAAGGGATTGATGCAACAGGATATAACCCTGGTAAACATATATGCCCCCAATATAGGAGCACCTAAATATATAAAAAAAACTTCTAGAGGACTTTAAGGGAGAGATTGACAACAATATAGTCATATGAAGGTGCTTTACTTCCAAATGTCTCATTCTAGTTTCAGGATCAGGAAAAAAGAATAAGGAGGTGAAATATTAGGAAAGCAGAACCTCTCTTATGTATTATTGGATTACTGGGCAAACTGCAGTAAAAGCTGATAAATTTTGGTTAGGAACAATATTTCTGTTGAAGAAGAAAGGGAACTGATACTGGGTATCAGCTAATAATGTCTGTCACAAAAACCATATCTACCATGTTTTGATGAAAGGTTTAGGCTATAAGAACAAAGAATGAATAACTATGAACTATTCAGACAAAAATAATTAATGTTATCTAAAAGGGAGTAAGAATCATTCTTGAGTTTCTACTTTTGTTTCAGTAACACTAGGGGGAAAAAACAACTTTTACAGAGTTCTGAGGTAAAATGTAAATAGAGACTTTTCTAAATATCTAAGTTTTGAATAATATATGATATTAAAAGATATTCTCATTCTGGCCAGTGTGGATCAGTGGTTAGAGCGTCAGCCTGCGTACTGAATGGTATCAGGTTCCATTCCTGGTCAAGGGTTGCAGGTTCAATCCCTGGCCCCAGTGGGGGCTTATGTGGGAGGCAACCAATCTGTTTCCCTCTCTCACATCAATGTTTCTCATTCTCTCTGTCTCTGTCTCTGTCTCTCTTTCTCTTCCTCCCTCCCTTTCTACCTTACTCTCTCTAAAAAGCAATGGAAAAAAATAACCTTGGGTAAGGATTGAAGAAAAAGAAAGAAAAAGATATTGTCAAATATTCAAGAGCCTTGGAGATATGCTTACCTATTTTCTTGAATAAAATGACTTAAACATGTACTATTACTATACAACTGCTCATTATGTCTTCTTTAAGAAAAATATTCCTACCTCTGGGAATCTTTGTGTTGTCAGCTTGGCTAGGTTGAACTACATTTCCAAGAATTTCCCTTTGCATATATTTCTAGTTAGAGACACTTGTGGAAGACTTGAAGGGCAAAATGAAGCAGCATTTTGTAGCTCACACACATTGTCTCTGATCTACTAGCTCATCTTATAGGCCTGAGGCATGACCAAGTCTGAAAGGACATCTCCTGAATCTTTAGCCTCTCTTACGTCTTGGTCAGGTGACTGTGTTTATCTCTGTAACAAAGAATCCAGTCTTCTGAAGGACATGCCTACCATCTAGGTCATAGATACCAAGAACTAACACAGATATCAATCTGCCCCATGGCCTTCAGTTTGTCCCAGTGTGACCCAGATTGTTCTTGCTCTCCCTCATGCTACATTCATTTTTCCTTCTTGACTTTCTGCCTTGTGGACTTCAAGTTCCAGAATCAGATCGAAAGAAAATAGCTCCTTACAAGGAGGTGAGATGGCCAGATTCCTGGTTCATAAATAGAACCTCAACTACTGAGCCACACCAGCCAGATTATCCTATATAATAAAAGGCTAATATGCAAATCGACCAAACAGTTGCTATGATGCGCACTGACCACTAGGGGGCAGATGCTCAAAGCAGGAGCTGCCCCCTGGTGGTCAATGCACTCCCACAGGGGGAGCGCCGCTCAGCCAGAAGCCAGGCTCATGGCTGGCAAGCGCAGCGGCTGTGGTGGGGGAGCCTTTCCTGCCTCCATGGCAGCGCTAAAGATGTCCAACTGCCAGCTTAGGCCCACTCCCCCAAGGGGACATCCCCCGAGGGCTCCCAGGCTGCGAGAGGGTGCAGGCCGGGCTGAGGGACCCCTCCCCACCTGAGTGCACGAATTTCGTGCACTGGGCTAAATATATATATATATATTTTTGTTGTGGTTGTTGTTGTTGTTAACCCCCACCCAAGGACAGTTTTTCCATTGATTTCTAGAGAGAGTGATGGTAGAGAGGGAGGGAGAAAGGGAGAGAAACATTGATGCAAGAGAGACACATCAATTGGTTGTCACCTGCACACTCCCAGACTGGGGCCGGGGATTGAACCTGCAACCCATACACATGCCCTTGACCATGAGTTGAACCTGTGACCCTTCAATGTGCAGGCTGATGCTCTAACCACTATGTCACATTGGCCACAGGTGTAATGTCCTTCATTGTCTCTTGTTATGCCCTTTGTTTTGAAGCCTATTTTGTCTGATATAATTATTGCTATCCCAGCTTTCTTCCCCATTTCCACTTGCATGAAATATCTTTTTCCATCTATTTACTCTTAGCCTCTGTGTATCTTTTGTTATGAGGTGGCTCTCTTGTAGACAGCAAAATATGGGTCTTTTTTTCATATTCCTTCAGCTATACTATGTCTTTTGATTGGAGCATTTAAGTCATTTACATTTAAAGTGTATTGATAGGTACATATTTATTGCCATTTTATTTTTTTAACTATGTTATTCTGTTTTATTTTTCTTCCCTTCTCTTTCTTCTTAAACCAGGCCCTTTAACATTCCTTGTAATACTGATTTGGTGGTCATAAATTCCATTAGTTTTTTCTTGTCTGGGAAGCTCTTTATTTCTCCTTCAATTTTAAATGATAGCCTTGCTGGGTCAAGTTGTCTTGGTTGTACGTTTGGACATATCTTTTTGAGGACATAACTTCAAACACTTCAGCTACATTCTGATTAATTTCCTCATACAAATGTTCCTCTTTATTAATCTCTCTCTAGTTGTATCAAATCTACTTAACATATTCATTTAAATTTCTAAATTTTTATAATATTTTCAGTTTTCAAAATGTTTAGTCTTTAGTTTCTTCTGTGCACATATTTTAAGGCTGTTATTTATTTTTGTAAATAGAAAAATATGGCTGTTATATTTTGTGGGTCCTTTTCTATCATTTGTTGTTTCACTTGGTTCATAGTGCCTTATTTTCCCATTTTTATTTAAATTTACTAGAGGTTTGATGCACGAAATTTGTGCAAGGGGCTTGGCCCTTGCGGCCCTGGCTTCGTCTGGAAGGGCATCCTGAAGGTTGTCTGGACGGTCATTCTGCTGTTTGGCCGTCTGGTCTAATTAGCATATTATGCTTTTATTATGATAGATTGGAGTAACATTGTTTAATAACATAAGTTTCAGCTGAACAACTTTATAATACCTCATCTGTATATTACATTGTGTGCTAGTCACCCAAAGTCTAGTCTTCTTTTGTCACCATATGTATTAACTTCTTTATCAACCCCCACCACTTTCCCCTATAGTAACCACCATACTGTTGTCTGTGTCTATGAGTTTGTTTTGTTTGTTCATTTGTTGCTTTTTGTTTTATATCTCACACATGGGTAAAATTATATAGTTCTTGTACTTTTTCATATGACTTATTTCACTTAGCATGATACTCTCAAGATCCATCCATGTTGTCACAAATGACAATATTTCATCTTTTTTATGGCTGTGTAGTATTCCATTGTATATATATGTACCACATTTTATTTATCCAATCATGGGTCAAAGGACACTTAGGTTATTTTCACATCTTGGCTATTGTGAATAATGCTGCAATAAACCTACGGGTACATGAGTGTTTTCAAATTTTTTGGTAGATACCCAGATTGCTGGGCATATGGTAGCTCTATTCTTAACTTTTTGAGGAATTTTTATATTGTTTTCCATAGAGCCTGTACCAATTTACATTTCTATCAGCAGTGTACAAGGATTCTCTTTACAAAAGATGCTCTGATAAGGAGCTAGTATCCAAAATATATAAAGATCTCGTACAGTTCAGCAGCAACAACAAAAACCAAAGAATCTATTTTAAAAATGAACAGAGGGCCTGAACAGACACTTTTTCCAAGAAGACATACAAATGACCAACAGACATATGAAAAGACACTCAACTTCACTAGCTATAAGGGGAATGCAAACCAAAACTACAATGAGATACCACCTCATACCTGTTAAAATGGTTATTATCAATAAAACAAGAAGTGACAAATGTTGGAGAGGATATGGAGAAAAGGGAACCCCTGCATACTGCTCATCGTGTCTTATTTTCTTGGGTGTTTAGTGAATTTGACTGAGTAGTTTCATTTTTTTTTTAATATATTTTATTGATTTTTTACCATGGAGAAAAGGGAACCCCCGCATACTGCTCATCGTGTCTTATTTTCTTGTGTGTTTAGTGAATTTGACTGAGTAGTTTATTTTTTTTAATGAAATGAAAAAATTTGCTTTTTTGAGGTTCATGGAAACTTGGTATTAAGTTGGTTCCTTCAGAAAATGTGTGAATTTTGTTTTTGCCAGAGCCTGGGATAACTTCTGGTTTGGGGTGCTTTAAATTTTTAGTTTGAAAGTTTGAGGATGATGCAGACACTCTTCATTTACACTTTACATCAACATGATAGCCAGATTATGGATTCAACTTCTTAAGATGTTGCCTTCCTCTGCTAATTTGCCAAGCTTTAAACAAAATTTTATGTAATCTTTGGTGAAAAGGAGTGGTATTTATAGTTCACTCTTACACTAAAGTAGAGGCCTTTGGGGGTCTCTGACTTAAAAGAAAAAAGATTTCTACTTAAACTCCCCACCTTAAGTGGACACTGAAATTTGCCTCTTGCACTTTATGTGCTATGAGCCATGAAAACTGATAGCCAAGTTGACCTAGTTTGGCAAACGCCCGCAAATTTCTTTTACCTCTCTGGTTCACACCATCAGCAGGTCTCTGGCTTGTGTATTCCTTATTTTATTTCTAGCACAACAGTGGTCCTCATAAAATGTTTCAAAGCTTTAATCTAGCATTTTAGTTGTTTATAATGGGAAGTTTAGTCTAGTAATATTGTCTGTAGTCTTACCAGAAATAGAACTCCTTTTCTTTCTTAATCTATTTGTATATTTATTATTTTAGAAAATTGTCTATAGCACTTACATTTAAAAAAGTGATTGGCCTAAATTTTAAAAATCATATTCTGTTGCAGGCTTTAAAATCTTAACTGTGTATCTGAGGTTATGGCCCAATTTTTATTTATAGTTAATTTGTACATTTTTTTCTCTCTTTTTCTGACTTGATCAGGCCAAAGGTTAATAAAGGAAAATATATAGATTATTAAAATAAAACGTGATAAGATCTATGAAGTTTCTATGAGTGTGTTAGTTATGGAGGTGAACACAGGAGACATTTTGTCAATATTTAAACGGGCACATGTATGTAAAGTTGTCAGCACATTGTCTCATACTTGGAAAGACCTCAATAGATATTAAACTTTATAGTACTAGGGAAACTTTCCTTAGATAAAGGGGAAGGTAGGCATTTGTTATGCAGCAATAGATAACTAGTATTCCTGGCTTGCTGGCAAGGCAATCAGTATGATTCACGGAACATGCATTTGAGAGATAGGAATGGGAACGTAGTGATTGAGATCATATGCTATTTTATTTATTAAAGAGTTAAAATAGCGCATCAACAAAACCTTATGTGATAAAGAAAAAATATCAGAACTCTTCTGAATGTGAGTATCACCTGAACCACCAGAGATACTGGTCCTGGTGAGTTCTTCCACAGTTATGTAAATCAAAGGCTAAGAGATTGGCTGAAGTCGGGATATGAATAACTGCATAGTTTCTTCTGGAAGGACAGAATGAATGAATAGGAAATTGAAATGAAACCCCACTATTTGTGAAGAGAGAATACTCTGTCATTCCCGTAGCCAAGGCCCACAGACAATGATCCAGTAAGTCTGGCCCCAGACGTCCCTTCAGCTTCTGTCTTTCTTGACTTTGGAGTGAACTGGGCATGATTTAGAGACTAGAGACCTGACAATGAGAAGATGCAAAAATTCGAGTCCTAGACCCATCCTTTGATCTTGAGCCATTAGTGCCACAGGTTCTTGGTCTCTCATGTCTGAAAAATGCTCAGGTATTAGTGTCACCACGTCGAGTGGCATGGCTGCCACCATGAGTGGGTGAGTGATATCCTGCTTCCAGAGATGGGAAATGCCTGTCCAACACCCTCTTCTCAGGTTGTGTGAGAAAGGGGTCAAAACAGGGAAGAGATGAGAGCGGGACAATGATGCCAGTCCGAGAGGTGATCATTTAGGCCTTCATGCTGTAGGTGGTTTTGGATTTCCAGAGATGAAACGAGTCTTTTCGGCAAAGGCAGTAGCAGGTCACAGCCCTAGGGCCTGGCTGGTTTTATCAATCTGGCAGTTCAGAGTCAGCGCAAAGGACATCCCCAACACCTAAGAAGAGTTGGGAAAATAGGAGATCTTTAACAGAAGAGGCCATCTCTCCCACAACCTCTGGCATCAGCCCCAAAGTAAAAGAAAGTATCCGTTATACTGAGACCATCTTTCCTGCTATCACTTTAAATTCCTTCTCAGGTGTTGTCTCCTTTAGCTTTAGAATGGCGGTGGGGAGACTAGTGAGCCTGATGCTGGCAAGACGAGTATAGAGTCTGGGGACATCTCTTGTCTCCTTACGTCTTTAAGAAACCTTAAGAAGCCCTGCTGCTGGAACAGGCATGTTCTGCACAAGTCAGCGCCTCATGCAACGAGTCATCTCTCCCTGGAGTCTGGGGACATCTCTTGTCTCCTTAAGTCTTTAAGAAACCTTAAGAAGCCCCTTAAAAAAAAACAAAAAAAAAACCCCTGACCGGTTTGGCTCAGTGGATAGAGCGTCGTCGGCCTGGGGACTGAAAGGTCCCAGGTTCGATTCCAGTCAAAGGCATGTACCTTGGTTGTGGGCACATCCCCAGTAGGGGGTGTGCAGGAGGCAGCTGGTCGATATTTCTCTCTCATCGATGTTTCTAACTCTCTATCCCTCTCCCTTCCTCTCTGTAAAAAATCAATAAAATATATATATTAAAAAAAAAAAATCCCACCCATGGCCCTGGAGCTCTGCTTGTTTTACTATGGTTGCAAATATCAAAAAATTTCTATATGTGACACGGCACCAGAATTAAGTTAGGGTTTTTCAAAATGCTGACACGCCGAGCTCAAAAGGTTCACCATCACTGCCCTATGCGCTAATCCTCCTTGGTTTCCAAGCAGAGAAAATTGGTTTTTCTCTGAGCTCCTTGATTAAGTCTTAGCTAATCTGTGACATACCCAAAACACGTGGGTATAAAAATGGTAGAAATATCACATAATATAAAAGAAGACAAAACTCTCCCCAATTGATTCCTGCCTTGTCAAACTAAGCAGAGAAACAACAAGGAAATTAATTATAATTTTCATCATCAATTCCTGCTTAGCATATAAAGCCAATTTTTTTCAAGTCTGTCACAAGCTTTCCTCTTAAGGATAAGTTGACCAGATAGCTCTTATAGCATATTTTCTGTCTGCTTGAAATTGCTAATAACATTATTTGCTACTTGACTTGTGGAGCTCACATTTATTGAGCACATACTATGTAACTGGTACTGTTCAAAACTTTATATGACGTAACACATTTAATCCTGAAAATAGTCCTATGGTTAAGCTCTTACCTGGATCACACATACACAGATAGTGATGATGCCGATATACAGGAAGTTGGACTGAAACCATGATTTTGCTTTTATGTAGCAACCCTAGAAAAAATTACAAACACAAATGATACCACTGTATTATTCAACTTTATCAAGAGGCATATTTGGGAAGATAGTTGTCTTTTGCCTTATGGCAAGAGACTTAAGCCAGGTGTCATATTTTTATTTTCTTTATATATAAAAATACAGTCATAAAGTAGAGAATATTGAACTGAAGATTTTTTTGGTGGTGTTATTATTACAATGATACCTTAAGTAGAAGTCTTAAATCCTCACACATGAGTTCAACTAACTCCTGAAAGGTATGTCAGCAACAGATGTCCTTATGTTCTTTGAACATTTACTGCTGACTTGAAATTAACAAACGGAAATGTAGGCAATGCAATGCTAGGATTGGTTGCGTTTCAGCTTCTGCTTCAAAAGCCAGTAAACTTATCAGGGTCCTACCAAGCTCCAGGGCAGTCGCTGGTTGGTAGGTGTCCCAGTCTTTCTTCAGACACCTAAAAAATTCCAGAGATTTCCAAACAACCCCAAGAGTGGGTAACATGGGGTAACAGGACCTTAAGGACTTGGTTGAGCTGGAAGATGATTTCGGCTGCCTCTCTGGGCCTAGTCTGGAGGTCCGAATCAAGTGGGAAGATTGTTTCAACAGTTGCACCAACTCCTGTCTCCCCCAACTTCTCACTCCTTCCCTTATGATTCATCTCACTAAGGGGCTGGATGCTGCCATCTCCAAGGAAGGAGGGCAGAGAAAGTGGTAGAGGGAGAAGCTTTTCAACCCCAACCTTACAGATTTCACTTTCAGCCATAAGGAGACCCACTTCTTGCTCAGGAGAAATCGAGACATGATCCTTTGCCACTAGCACATACACTTCGCCCTCTAATGTAATAGTATAGGGCAGCACGATTCTCCATGATGTCTCTAGTCTGAATGAGCTTGTTTTTTGTTGTTTTGTTTTCTGATTTGTCTGGTTACCTGGGTTGTCTCCCTGGTCTCTATTTTGTTCAAGGTTCCCTGTTTCTGGCTGGGAGGACTAGGTCCCATATGACTGGAGTTTCTAAGGTAATTAAACATTCTATTAAAGAGGCAATAACAGAAACATTGCCCCAAATTACCTTAACTTGTGGATCTTTAGGGCAAGTAGCTGGTGGGCCGCCGGTCCAATCACTTGTGCCATTTACACCACAACATTGCAGCTGAAAACCAAGCCCCCCCGCCAAAGATACGATTGTTAGAAAGTCAACAGAATGAAAATGTGGGCCTTGGAGAAAAGTGGGCCCTTCATATCTGACTGTGTAGCAGAAAATCCAGAATTGGCCTGACTACTACAGCTCCTGAGACAAAATGCTTTCAAATCCATCGTACCATTGCATTCACATAGACTCCTCGAAGTTGAGAGGGCACGTTTACTTTATTCACACTTTACAGATCGAAAATGAGACACACAGGGGACTCTATAATGGAGGGATCAAGCTGATCTACCTACACCCACCAACCCGTCTTGAGATCACAGAAAGTAAGACAATCAGACATTGGAAGCAATGAAGATGTCCTTTAGTAGGGGAATGGATAAATAAGCTGTGGTATATCCAGACAATGGAATATTATTCGGCACTAAAAAGAAATGAACTATCAAGCCATGGGAAGACATGGAGGACCCTGAAATGCATATGACTGAGTGACAGAAGCCAATTTGAAAAGACTATCTACTGTATGATTCCAACTATATGACATTCTGGAAAAGGCCAAACTATGGAGACAGTAGAAAGATCAGTGGTTGCCAAGGATGGGAGTAGGACGGGTGGGGAATGTGCAGCCTGCGGGCCATATAAAGCCTGTGAAATCATTTGGTCTGGCCCTGCCAAGGCATTAGGGGTGAGTTTATTAAATGTTGGACTACATATAGCAGCTAATTTTTCAGTTGATAATTTTGTATGGCCCATGAATGATGTTATAAATATCCAATGGCCCTCGGCAGAAAAAAAGGTTCCTCACCCTGGAGTAGGAGGAGAGATAAACAGGTGGAGCACAGAGGATTTTCAGGGCAGTGAAATTACTCTGTATGATACTATAATGATGGGCATATGTCATTATACATTTGTCCATATCCATAGAATGTACAAGACAGAGTGAATTCTAATGTAGACTATGGACTATGGGTGATAGTGATGTGTAAATGTAGATTGATCGTTAGTTTAAAAAAAAAAGAATTATTCTGTTGATAATGGGAGAAATGCATGTGTGGGGACTGAAGGTATATGGGAAATCTCTGTACCTCTCTCTGTTCTGTTTAAACCTAAAACTGCTCTAAAAATTTAAGTTCTTAAAAAAAGAGGCTATTATCTTTATATTGAGTGGGTAAGATGATGTAACATCTAGTATTTGCTTTAATATATTCTAGCAAAAAAAGCAGAGGGGATTAGCTGAGACAGTGGCAAAATATTAACTACTGAAGCTGGGTGATTTGTACCCAGAAACCCATTTTGCTATTCTTCTGTTTATTTTTAGATATTCCAGAGAACTCTCTAATAAAGAGACTTCTAAAGCAAATTGAAAAATAAAGAACTGGGGACTCAGAGAGGTTAAATGACTTCCTCAAGGTCAACCAGCCCTGGTCTGGCTCTATTTCCTGTGCTGCTGCTTCTCCACACTGAGCAGGCACAGCAGGACCACGGCCCCATGTGGCCACAGTGGTGGTGTCTGCGACACAGACTATGCCAGTGCCAGGCTGGCTCCCTCACCCTTCTGTGTCCCCCAACACACCAAGGCAGGGATGCAGAGTTAATGTGGGTATTCGTGGATGGGGAGGGGGAATGAGGAATGGTGTGCTGATGGGCTAGGTATCAAGCAGGATTTGGGCTACTTAGGAATTCAAAAGAGATTTCTTGTATTATATCATTTCTGTTTTCAGGGAAATTTTGGAAAAGATGCAAACTAATCTAGTATGACACGTTTGGGTCTTCCTTAGTAGAACTTAACCCATGAGCCTATCTGAGTTGGTGAAAAATGAGAGAGAGACTGTAGACAACCCGATTAATCTTCTTTATGTTATGACCCACAACGTAAATAAGATTACCCAAATGACTTAAGGAAGAACCAAGGTGATTCTTGGCAAGCATATTCTGGACCTGACCTAGAGGCAATGGACCTTAGATTCTGAAACTCCCAAGAAAGGAAGTGCCTTTTAGCCTCCAGGGACCGAGGTTGGAGAATGAAGTCAGGGTTGAGCTGCGGAGGGGCCCATCTGCACTCACAAACTTCTGGATGGAGTCCCACGCCGCCCTGGTGCTGTTGTCCGAGTGATATCGCTGGATGCTGTCAGTCAGGCCTTCCCGCACCGAATCGCTCAGCTGCACAGGGCGCATGCCAGCAGGGAGACAGTGTAAAAAGCAGGTGAGTTCAAGGAACAAGGAATTTCTAGGACAGTTGAGCTGTCCCATTTGCCCCTCCCTTCCAAAGGGTCTCTTCAGAGCTACGGAAGGGAGGGGAGAGGTCCTGTATTTTTTTTTTTTTTTTGCATGGGAAGAAGTGCTGAGGGTGAGATGGCACTGAAGGAGGAAGCGCACAGCGGTCACTTGTGCTTCCAGAACTCTTTTAAAGGAGGAAAGGGCCAGTCAGAGCCTTGGCTCTCAGGCACGTTCTGTATTGCCAACCCATGGAGCAAAGTAGGCTGGAGGAAGATACTTACTTCCACTCTTCTTCCTTCTTATCCTTCAAAGAACCACACAAATGCAATATCCTTCATGAATTTCTTTAATCTCCCCAATTATGATTAATCTCTTTCCTCCATCCTTCCACTTTCTTCTACCTCTAATTGTAGGACTTATTTTGTGCCACCTTCTTCTCCACGGCCCACTCCCCATGCTCTGCAATAGGACAAGGTGCTGTGCTCTGTATAACTTACCTTCTGTTCATACACGAAGAGCAGGATGGCCAAGGTCACCTCAGCGAGGAGGATGATCAACAGCAGGACAAAGAACTGGGGCAAAGCAGAGACATGCTCATAGCACAGAGCCCAGGTCTTTCCCTATTCCCACTGCATCCTGGGAGCATCCAGTCACGTCTCTGCACATGTTCTTGTTCCTGCCTGTTGGGCCTTCACAAACCCCCTCTTGTCTTGTGAGGAAAATGTAATCTTTTCCTACAACTAGATTCCAAGACTCTAGAGGGCAGATCAGCTGTCTTCTTTGTTGTTCCCTTCCCATGTGCGTACCGAGCTCCATGTGCAAAATGTATATGTAATACCATTTGCTGAGTCACTGAAACCATTTTGGCATTAGCCTATCCACACAGCGTCTTTAGAGTCTGGGGCCTGGTCCCTTCTGCAAGAGCAGGGCTATGTGTACAGATGGGGAGAATATGAATTAGAACCTGCCATCATGGTTCTAATTCGTATTTATCTCCAACTTTGGATGCCGATTCCCTTTGTATTAATCACATTCACACTTTCACTTATTCCCTTTCCTTTATCTTTTTACCCCAACATGAATCTTGACTACTTAAAACCTTTCCCCATGCCTGTTATGTTCCACCTTTTGCCATTAGTCCGGGAACTATCTGAGAACTGGGACTTTCTTATTCTCTCTCTGGACTCCAGTTTCAGACCTGACCCATAACGGAAAGAAGATGAACCAAATGACTTAAAGAAGAACCAAGTGATTCTTCTTTAAGTTACTGGGAACCAGACCAAGCTCTGATCTGGGCACACAAGAGAAACGGGGAGCTTGTCTTTAGAGTCTGGGGCCTAGTCCTTTCTGCAAGAGCAGGGCTATGTGTACAGATGGGGAGATTTCTTTAAGTGACTGGGAACCAGATCAAGCTCTGATCTGGGCACACAAGAGAAACGGGGAGCTCTTCTTTCCGAGCGCTTAGAGGCTAGACCTAAGCTTAAAGGTGCTCCTCTGGATAGTTAGCAGCCCGGGGCCAACTGGAAGCTCTGCTATCCCTCACAGTAGACCTCAGTGGCTGCAGCCTAGGCCCTCGTCTAAACCAGGTCACTCTCACTGTGGCGTATCCTGTGCAGACAGGAGATAGGGAAGCATCGCTGCCATTTTAGGAGGGTCACAGCACTGAGAGGAATCTAGCGACTAGATTTTCCATTAGTTAGTGACTCCGAAAATATAGACTGATGCCAGGAGGATTTAGGCAGGTGCCAACCTTATGCTTCTGAGATGCCAATCTCCTGCTCCTCTGATTTCCCTGTGCCCATAGGTGAGCTGCCAAAAAACATCTTGCCTGGGCCTTAAGTCATGAAGTCCCCCCTCCCCACCACACACACTTAGGGCACCACCTCTCCTGCGAGAGACTCACCGACATAAGCAGGCACTTGTTCTCCTTGATGGAGCCCATGCACCCCAGGAAAGCAACCACCATGATGATGGAGCCCACGATGACAAGCACGTTGCCCAGCGTGAGGGAGGGGAGGTTGTGGAAGAGGGCCCCGAAGTTGTTGTGGACCAAGAAGTAGATCCCAAAGCCCAAAATGCAGCAGCCGCAGAACTGAAAGGAAGAAGGCCACAGCATTCTGAGATAAAACATGGTCCTCGGGGATCTCCTCATATTCTCATTTACTTGAGATTAGAATCACCTTTTTCCATTGGCTTCATCAGGACTCTGATGAATAACCTCTTTCCCCTAGAAAAGGGGTGGTCCTAGCTTCTTCCTGTCATGTCCCACCCAGGCCTCATCCTACCCATATCAGACACCAGGGGAAGCTCACTCCTGTGAGTAGCACAGTATTTTCAGGCTTCAGATTCCTACTCCTTGCCCCTCAACTGCTTACACGTGGTCTTCCCTTTGGAAACCACAACCATGTCGAGTGGAGGCCCTGTTTCAGAAGTTCATCTTGCAAGGCAGAAAACTGGAGAGGCCAACTTCTAAGGATGTTCTCATAGAAACATGAGTACCAACTCATATCTGAAATTCATTTGCTAAGTTTGGTACAGTGAAACCTCCCCAGAAAAGGTGGCTTTCCTTTCAATCAGCTCTTCTAAGATGTCCAGGGGGGCACATAACATCTAGGAAAAAAGAGGCACTCAATACACAGTGTAGACTAGAGTCTCTGGTTTCTCACCCATAGATGTCAGCAGTGAGTGGTAATAACCTAAAGTCCCCAGAGAAACAGCATCCCCTTCATATTGATACCTTTCAATTTTGGGTTATATACTGCGGCAGGATGCCGAGAGGGGAGGAAAGTGTCATTCCCTTCTTCTTAAGCTAGGTAGACTGCACATGACGCAGGTGTGCATGAATTCACTCCACACAATGCTCTTCAGCAGAGGAGAAAGAAGTCGAGCATACCTGGGCGGAGGCGAGCTCAGCCATGCTCAGAAGAGGCTCACTTACCCAAAAGAGCAAGTTGAAGAAAAACAGGACATACTTCAGCAATTTCAAGCTGCTCATACCCATCCTGGGATATTCTTGCACTAAAAAAGAGAAGGCAATAAAGACAATGTAAGTGACCTGGTTCTGCAAGTTGGTTCCAAAGATCAGCGGGCACAAATATTCAGTTCAAGGATCTCTAGCATTACCTTGGGTTTGAGCTGTGACTCTTCTCTGGAAAGTTTCCCCAAACTTCCTGCTCTCTTAGTCTCTGAACTGAGGTACCAATTGGCTCATCTCGGACACTCACTTTTGCTTCAATTCATCAAGCCAAGGATGCTTAACATTGAATTAAGCACGGTAGGAGTAAGCAATAGAGCCAGAAGGGCAGGTCACAGTGACACAGTGTCCCAGTGCTCAGGGACTAGTGCCTGGGTACTTACTCAAGAAGGCAGCGCCGAGTTCAGGGCGAGGCTGGTCAGTTAGCTGTGGACATGGCTGGTGCCTTGATCAGCCAGTCCCTTAAGTGCCCTGAGCTGCACCTATACAATACATGTAGTCTACATACCTCTTCACATGGAAGTGGGGGAACATACTTATGCCTCATTTATTCTTTTGCTGAAGACACTGATAGTGTTTTTTTGTTCTAAGATGCTGTGGGAGAAGCAACTGTAACCAAGCAGTAGCTACCCTCCAGGAGCTGTCAATCTTACAGCAGAGCTAAAACTGGCCAACAACTGTCCAGTGGAACAATGAAAGAAGACAGAAATGAAAATGAAAACTTTTTTAAAAATATGTATTTTTATTGATTTCAGAAGAAGGGAGAGGGAGAAAGAGAGAAACATCAATGATGAGAGAGAATCATTGATCGGCTGCCTCCTGCATGCCCCCTACCGGGATCAAGTCCAAAACCCAGGCATATGCCCCAGCAGGGAATTGAACCATGACCTCCTGGTTCATAGGTCAACGTTCAACCACTGAGCCACGCTGGCCGGGCAAAAACTTTTTTAAAAAATAGATGTGTTTTTTTTCCCTTGATGAGGACATCAGTGTTCAAAGTCTAGTCCTCAATTCTAGAGATCCAGACACACAATTTTTAATTTCTCTCAGTGATAATGGGGCATAGATGAACTCAACAGCAACCACAGGTAATACTTTAATCAATAAAGAAACAAAATTAAAAATAAAACAAACAAAACCTCAATGGCAAGAAAGCAAACACTGCCATTTAAAAATGGGCAAAAGAGCTGAACAGATACTTCACCAAAGATACGCAGATGGCAAATAAGTAAATGACAAAGCACTCTACTCCAGTAGTCATGCAGGAAATGTAAATTCAAACCACAATGAGGTACCAGGGTCCACCTCCTAGAATGACTAAGAGAAGAGAAAAGAAAAACAGCCGAGCCTACCAAGGGTGGATGAGGATGTGGTGGAACTGGGACTCACGGGCTGTGGGTGAGAATGGAAAAGGGTACATCCACTTTGAAAAACCGTTGGCCAGTTTAGTAAAAAGTGAAACATAACTCTTATCAAATGATCCAGCCATCCTACCCAAGGTCTTTACCCAAGACAAATGAACACATACGCCCATACAAAGACTTGTACAGAAATGTTTATAGCAGCTTTATTTGTAATAGCCCAAATCTGGAAACAATCCGAAGGTCCTTCAATAGGTGAGGGGATAAATAAACTGTGGTACAACTATGTCATGGTAAACTACTCGGGTATGAGAAAGAATGAACTGCCAACACATGCTACTGCATAGATAAACTCAAAAATAATTATGGTGAGTGAAAGAAGCTTGACATAAAAAAATACATACTCTATGATTCCAATTACATCAAATTTTAGAAAATGAAAGCTAACCTATAGCAACAAAGAACAGATGATGAATTGCTTGGGAGGTGGAGGTAAAGAAGAGGGGGAGTAAGGAAGGGCAAGAGAAAGGGTTGCAAAAGACCACACATATTCCTTGGGGAGTGATGCATGCCATCTTGACGGTAGGGACGGTTTCAGCACATATACATATGTCAAAGGCCCTTCCTAATTTACACCTGCCCATCTCTCCAAACTCGTGGCAACAGTCCCTGTCTTATACTTAAAAACTTAACAAGTGACATTGACTATTTGTCACTACCCTTCCTTCCTTAACTTGGCTCATGTGGTTTCCTGGAATTGCCCCTTTCTCTCTCTCTCTGACCCCTCAATTTGGTTAGCAGTTAATCACCCTGAGACTCAGGTCACGTGTTGTCACTTTCCCAGGAAGACTTCTCTGATTCTGATTCTTCGTGCCCAACCCCCGCTCCCACAGGGTGACACTGTGCAGCTCCGGTATTGTCCTGAGCACCTTGCTTTGTAATGATCCCTCCCGTCACTAGAATGGGAGCTCCTTGAGCGTAGGAGCTGGTTTATTTACCTTCGAACCCTCAAGGCCCAGCACAGAACCTGATTACTCTTAAAAATAACTAAGATTGATGGATGAACAAAGGACTGGAATTTTCCTCCTTGACCCTAAATAATCCAGTGAGTGGAATGACCATGACATTGCAGCGTCAGGAGCCTTGGGCTTAAGATTTATTCTGCCAGTAAACTAATCTTTTGGGCACCGGCAAATAGCTTACCCCAAGGAGATGGGGCTAGATGCCCCCTGGAGTCACCTCCTCCCCACCAACCTGGGATCCTGTGACAACTGCTTCAGGTCCCTGTCATCACCTTGCCCACAGAGTACCCACTGAGAAGGTGCCCACAAACCTGGGGATCTCCCCACTGATTCTTTCCTTCGCAGACGGGAGGTAGGACCTCTGCTTTCTCCTCTCTGGTTTCCCCACTTACTCACACTCACCTGAACTGAGGGAGAAAAGCTGCCCATTTGGTAAGATCAGCATTACTGTTATCACTTGCATGGATGGCCCCAGCTCTCCCGGAAACCCAGAGCCCGAGCCACCCACCCCCACACCTTCCTTCACTGCGATGGGCCAGTTATTGAGCTCCCGCCCCTTCACTCCTGCCAACCCCACCGCCTGGGAGACCCCACACCCTCCACAGTCAAGGTCGCCACACCCAGCCCCATGACCCAGGGCTCTGCAGAGTAATTCTATGACATCAGTTTCCAGGAAAGCTCCGTGATTGAACTGCAGCCAGCTGTGGTCACCTCCCACGCCCCAACGTGGAGGCCACAGAGGAAGTTACACTTGCTTTCCTCCCAGCAGAGCGCTGGGGCAGGTAGAGTCTGGTGGATTCTAGCTCAATCTCTCTCTTTTCTCTGACCCACACCTGCTCCATCTAATCTGGTTTTGAGTTTAATCCAGTTTAGCGGTGGCTAAGGTTGGACGGAAGTTTTGAGAAACTATCCGTCCTTGATCTCCAGCCTTATCTGATCTGATCTTAGAGACCAGTCTTGAGTCATAGCAAGACAGCCGTGGTGTCACACCAACTGTGACATTTATGAGATGTTAATAGGAGTTCCTCAAACACAAACAATCAATAGGGAGCGAGAGGAATCGACTGGACAAATAATTTTGGAAGTAAATGGGATTAAAAGACTGAGATTCTACCACAGAATCTTCTTTTAGGAGAACAAACCATAGGATCATTTTTAATGCCTCTGTTTGCTTGTGATACAGAGTGAATATGGAGCCATGAGTTCAAATTTACTTGAACACCTTTCAAAAGATGTGAGATGTCAAAATCATTCCTCAACTAGCTCTGAGATGGGAAATGTCAAACAAAAGTTTGACAAATTAAACCTACATTGAACACAGTCCAATGATGCCTATTTAGTGAGAAGCCTACGAGAAAAGGGAGTATCGTGTCGTATGGAGGAAAGAGCATTCCACGGACAGGCAGGTAATCTAAATAGTTAAGAGGGTTTATGGCTTTGGACAAGTCTCTATGATCTTAAATTATTAAACATATTGATTTCAAATCACCTGGATTTGTAGTTGTTATATTTTTATTTTGCTTATGTTAAAATGCACTGGAAATGCCTTTTTTTAAAAAAATATATTTTATTGATTTTTTACAGAGAGGAAGGGAGAGAGATAGAGAGTTAGAAACATCGATGAGAGAGAAACATCGATTAGCTGCCTCCTGCACATCTCCTACTGGGGATGTGCCTGCAACCCAGGTACATTCCCTTGACCGGAATCGAACCTGGGACCTTTCAGTCCACAGGCCGACGCTCTATCCACTGAGCCAAACCGGTTTCGGCTGGAAATGCCTTTATGTAAGGAAGGAACACAGTCCAATGATGCCTATTTAGTGAGAAGCCTACGAGAAAAGGGAGTATCGTGTTGTATGGAGGAAAGAGCATTCCACGGACAGTCAGGGAAGATTCTAAATAGTTAAGAGGGTTTATGGCTTTGGACAAGTCACCTTAACTGAAAAGTAAGTCGATTGGAATGTCCTAATGGCTAATCTGTGCTGGGCTCTCACGGTGAGTTGGGTGCTACCCAAGGCCGCACGGCACCGCTGTCTCATTTCTCTGTGACTTGGCTTCGGCGCTCGGCACCTGCAGGGGCAGCTGGGCCCCGGAGCTTCCCGAGGACAAGTGCCCAGTGTCTAGGCCCCGGTGATGGGCCTGCATCACACGCCCGCTCGGTACAGGAAGTGCCGTGGACTGAATAATGTGGGAGCATGAACCAAACCACCGAAACTGAACCAGCACCGCGCTTCCTGGAGCAGAAGCGGAGGGAGAGAGTGGCTGTAACCTCGCACACAGCTCCACCCTTCGCTCTAACAGAGGCCAAGTCTAGGTCGAGGAGGAAAGCAGGAAAGCATCTGCCTCTTCACCCTCACGTCAGCCCCCGTCTCATCCATGCTGCCACGTGGCTGTCTCTGGGGAGCCCTTCCCCCCCATCCCCAGGCCGAGGCCGAGGACCCGCCTGGCTACTGACCTTGCCTTCCACTCAGGGACTGGGATGCTAGAATCCAAGCAAGACAAAGAGATTTCCACTTCCCGTGGCCCCGCAACCGTGGCTTGTTACACCTCAGCCTGGCCTGCTCTCCGTTCTCGCATGCCTGGGGCGCACTGGTCTTGGGGCTGCGTTGCTGGGTTCTGTCTGGAATGCCATTACCCCAGTCTCCGTAGCAGACCCAGACTTCTCTGAAAAGGATCCCGAGCGGCCCCCCTCTCCCAGGGAGTCCTGGGCACGCTCCCCAACGCCTCCGTTCTGTGCACACTGTCCCATTTATTGTCGAAAAGATCACACTGTGTGGTGTGAGCTGTATCTGTGCCTGTCCTCCGTGCTAGACTCTACGAGCGCCTTGAACTTGAGAACCACACCCGTTAGTTAGCCGTGTCTCCAGCACCGAGCACAAGGCCTAGGCCCTGGGAGTGAGGCGAGGAACAGGCCGCGGCCGAGGTCTGAACCTTCTGAGCAGTCAGAGGGTTCAGAGAACCAGCAGCCAGCAGCTGAGGACGGAAGGAAGGAACGAAGACCACAGTTTGACCTTCCCAGGTGGTGTCTCCTGGGTTCCCAGAGTTCACCTCAGGTGGCGGGAGTGTGAAGAGATGGGCTTCGAATCCTTCCCTGGGGTGTAAAGCCCAATCCTTTCATTTTAAGGCTAAATATTGTTAACCGGCCCCCACAGGAAACCCCACAGGAAATCAAGTTTTAGCTCAGCCTCTGCGCCAATTCAACCGCAGTTTCAAAACAGGGCAGATTCGGGTGGCGATTGAGAAAGCAAAACTTCTCTGTGTAGCCAGCAGCTAAGATTCTGCTTTTGCTCAACTGGCTTCCAAAGCACTTGCAAACGTATGGAACGTCTCTTATCTCCTCTGGGAGTTCCTCAGGGCGGGGCGATTGGCTGGACAAACACCCTCCCACCTTCCCAGCCCCTCCCTCGCCCCCAGCATCTTCCGAAGCACAGTGCCTGGCCCCAGGCATTCCTAACTCCTGATTATTAAGTAACTTTGTTAAACAGTCCAGGGTTTATTTTTAAATTCAAGGTTCAATAGCCCCCGAGGTGCTTTGGGAATCGAACCCTCTGCCGAATGCCCACCGAGCTCGGTCAGGTGGGTGGTCCCGGGGACTCTGCTCTGCCCACCAGGAGGCACTTTTGCAGGTCCCGGAGGGAGAGAGCTCCAACGGTGCCCTGACCCCCAGCCGGTATGGTAGCCACGGAAAGCCAAGATCGAAGCTTGGCTGGGCCTTTCTGAGTCCGGAGACCCCATCCTCAGTTATGGGGCGTCTCATTGCCATGCCAAGTTCCACCGGTTGGCGCATGGCATATGTATTCGTAGTCACGTTTTGTACCACGGAGAAGTTTCTCTGGGGGAACTGAGGATCACAGTGCCCTTGCTGCCCTTTGAAAACCACCAATCTAAGTGCCCCTTCGGGATGTCACCTTTCACCTGTGAGATACAGGAGCTGAATGCGTCCTGTGGGCCCGACCGAGCTGGGCGCTGGGGTCTGTAGTGATGGCTCTGAGGCCTCACAGCGGGAGCCACTGACTTCACTTTGGAAATTTCTCTCGCGCAGAAGACCTGCGCTCCCAGCTGCCTTTCCAAATGGCCCTGGCTGTTGGTTCTCTGCTCACTTGAAAGTCACCAGACCCATCTCCCAACGACCGACTGGGGCCTGCAGGAGGTTGCCCCAGGGGCCTGTAGGAGTCGGCCCAGCTCCATCTCGCACAGGAGGCTCCAGGCGTCAGGAACACCTGGCCCAAAGCGATCTCAGATCCTGGGAACCGGGTTCCTGAAAAGCCTTTCTGGCCGGTTTGCCTTCTGAGGGACTAGGATCTTGCCGATCTTTCTGCTTCCTGTGCAACATTCGTGAAACAGAAGGAGGCGATTGTAGGGTGACTAGAGCGGTGCCTGGCGGCTCCTGAGGAGACACCTTCCCCCATGTTACCTGGTTCAGGTCTCTGTTCTCAAGCCCAGACTGCAGTGTCCCCAGTCTTACCTTCTGCGGGTGCTGCTCCTCAGTCCCCGAGGCAGATTTGATGATTGTCCTGGAGGCGCTGGGACAAGGCTGGCGACAAGGATGTCCGGGGCTATCTGAGTAAAAGGAGAAGTGGAGGGGGAATAAATGTCATCACACTGCAAGGACAGGAAGCCCAGAGGAGGCGAGGGAGGAAGTGAGGCGGGGCCCGCCCCCCTTGAGACTCAGAGATGCAGTCCTTCCCTGAGGCTTTTTAGAAATCTGCTCCCCTGACCCGCCCAGATACCTGCACTGGCTTTTAGGAAACAGGAAAACGCCAAGACCAGGCTGGTTCAGGCACGAATCCGCGAGCACGGTGGGCTCTTGCTTGGGTGATGTGGGCATTATTATTTTTGTCTGGAAAAGCTCAGTCAAGGTGGCAGCTCAGAATTACCCATGGATCTGTTCGAGAAGGAGTTTGGCCTCACCAGCAGTTTCCATTCAGGCAGACGGAGATCAGAGCGCAGGCCAGAAATCAACGCTTTAAAATGTCTTCTAAGACTGAGATTTAGGGATGTCTGTTAAGCCACTCCGCCTTCTCCCCACCCGCCCTCCGGCTGCCTTCCGGGAGCTCTCTAGTCTCCAGGTCGATGGGGCGCCATTCCCAGACTTCTGCATCTCAGGCTGGAGGTCAGCCCTCAGGCACAATCCAAAGGACACGGTAGAAATGATGGGGTTCACAGAGGGAAGCCCGGATTTAGAGCCCAAAGATCTGGGTCTCAGTCCCCGCTTTGTCTGTTAGCCGTGCGAGACCAAGCGAGACCAAGCAGACCTCAGCCTCTCAGCTTCGGGTTATTAATTCTAATATAAAACAATAATAACAACAGGAATGGAGCCACTTTAAATTGGAGCCGGAGCTGCCATCCCCGAGGGACTGCCTCGCACAGCTTACTCCTCAAACCTTTGGAATGATAGGACGGGGCCTAAAGCAGCATTGTATTCCAAACAACTGTCTGCGACGATAACAGGGAAGATAACCTGACACTGACTGAAAATTAAAGACATTCTTTACGAACAGCACCACGGCATCCTGGCCCGTGTGGCTCAGTGGTTGAGCTTCGTCCACGCACCAGAAGGTCTCCGGTTTGATTCCCGGGTCAGGGCACGTGCCCAGGTTGCAGATTCGGTCCCCAGTCAGGGTGGGGGAGTGTATGGGAGTCGTGGGGAGTCTTCTCTCTCACATCAATGTTTCTCTCTCTCCCTTCCTCTCTCTCCAAAATAATCAATAAAAACACATTAAAAAATAGCATCAGTATGTTGGCGTATCTGCACCTATAAACATTCCTTCCTTTTATGGATGTACATGGTCCCCTTCCGTTTCTCATGAATACCCTTCGCCTCTACCTCCTAATCAGAACCCTATCTGGGTTTCTGCCTGAATCAGTGCTCCCGGAAGAGCTGTTCTATTGGATCTCAAATAAACGCTTGTTGCTGCTCACCTTGGCCTTTTATTTTTAGGTTAACAGTAACATCTAATTATAACCCTACTGAATAGTTCCCGTTATACCCCATTTACAGAAGAAAAAATAGAGGCTCAAAGAAGGTAGCTACTCTCCTCAAGATGATACAACTAAGAAATGGCAGAGCTGGGGACTCAAGCTCAAGGTCACAACGAATGCTGTTCCAAGAACACTGATTGGTAGTTTTTCAGGATATGCTTTTGTTGGAGAGAGAGAGAAAGAGAGAGAGAGAGAGAGAGAGAGAGAGAGAGAGAGAGAAGAGAGAAACATTGATGTGAGAGAGTAACATCAATGCCCCAACCAGGGATTGAACCTGCAACCTAGGCATGCGCCCTGACCAGGAATTGACCCACAGAAGTGGCTATGATCTCCTCCTGACCCCCCTTACGCCAGGGGGTGGCCATGCTAACAGGGGGTGTCCAGGGCCTGGCAAGCGCAGGCACCCTTCCTAGCCCAGGGAAGTCATTGGCAAATGTTGCTTTGAGGCACAACTTACAGAAGAGAAGTCAGTTACAGAGACTCAGAGGCTTAATAAATGCAGGGCAGGGAGGTCATCCACAGGAGCTGTGGCCCTCCCTAAATGTCCCCTCCTTCTCCCCCTCCTGGGGCACACCAGCTCTCCCTGACCCACAGGACGCACATTTGGCCAAACAGGACCTCTGTGTTTTTGTATATTTTTCCAGAAAGAAAAATAAGGGAAGCTATAACGAAGGTCTAGTTAAAATAAGATATATGTGCATGTTGAATAAAGACGTCTGTCAGCAGAAGTCTTTATTCAAATTAAGTTGTAAATAGAACAGCAATAAATAAGATAGGTAAAGCGGAACTGCTCGGGGAGGGGAGCGCAGGGGCAGGGCTCAGGCTGCTCACCCTCCTCCCCTCTTTGCTGGCTCCTTAGTCACCTTTGCCCAACTCTAAGGATGGAAAACCGGGGGGCCAGGTGGCCAGAGCCCTGGTTCTTTGCGGGTGTCGGGGTTTAATGACAGCTGTGGGGCCGGGCTGCGTTTCAGCTGCGAGACGCCCCAGGCTCCGTGTTCTGTTGCCACGTCTCAGCGGAAGTAAGAAGCCAGTTCTGCACCCAGCGAGCCTCTTCCCACTTGGGAGGCTGACATGGTGGCTTCCCACAGACGGAGGCGGGGAGGTGCTTTCCAAGCTGCAGCCGACCATGCTGGCCACCAACATCCTGAGCCTTCGCCACCCGATGGGAGTCCATGAGCTCGTAGGAGGTGCAACATCGCACTGGGGGCCGCCAGGGGGTCAAGGGCTCTGGCATGTGCCCTGATGCACGACCCTCCCTCCCGGCCACACAGAACCAGACAGGGATCCCCCAGGAGCCCTGGCGAATGCAGGGAGTTCCTTACGCTCACCGGGCAAGGAGAAGAGCCACCGAGTTGGCAGGTGGTGTGGTGCAGGGGAGAGAGGCCTGGACTCAGAAACGGAAGTGCCAGATTCTAGTCTTTGTTCTATAATTAACCAGCGAAAGTCCACCCCAGGGGACCACTTCCCTCTCCGCGAGAGAAGGGAGACTGACTAATTCATACATCCTCTCTGGGCCTTAAACAGTCTGAAGGTTTACTACTTTATAATGTAAAACATGACTTCTTGCTACAGGACAGTTCAAGCAGAGTTACAAGACCTTTTTTTGAAAAATATATTTTATTGATTTTAGAGAGGAAGGGAGAGGGAGCGAGAGAGAGAAACATCCATGATGAGAGAGAATCACTGATAGGCTGCCTCCTGCACCCTGCCCGGGAATCAAACTGTGACCTCCTGGTTTATAGGTCAACGCTCAACCACTGAGCCACGCCGGCCCTGCACAAGACCTACTCTTTCCCGAGCTCTTCCTATGGGCCAGACTGCGCTGTCCTTGCTCTCGCTTGGTGGCCATGAGACAGGCCTGGCCTTTCGTCCTTCGTAGAGGAGAAAGGCTGGGCTCGGTGAGCTAAGGAAGTGGCCGCGCCTGGGTTTTACACTTGCCCGTGAACAAAAGCCTGCTGTGCTATCCAGCTCCCCGGCTCCCCCTGAGCTAATCGGACACGAACACCTGCCACAGAAGAGTCTCTGACGGACAACTGAGAGCTGACATTGACTTTCCTACTTTACAAGAGGAGCAAGAACAGGGCAGTTGTCTCTTCATAAGGCCAAGCCTGAGAGTGTTTGCAGACACCCAGGGCGGCGTGTGTCATTTCCCAGCCTGGGCACTGAGGAACCCCAATGAATGAATGGCCAACATCATCTTTCTGCTTAACTCAAAAGAAGAAGAAAGCTTCAATAGGGAAATTTAGGCAAGAGGTACTCCCTTCCTGTAGGAGCCACACAAGGAGGCAGGCTCCCCTGCGAGTGTGATGCTGACCTCAGCTTCTCTACTCTGAAGTCGACTCAGCTCTTCGGAGTTGCAGCAAGAACAAACACACGCCCACCACGCCCGATGCCGGCAGCACGGGGAGCGAGTCCAAGCAAGAGCCTGGCAGAGAGCCTGGCAAAAGAGCCGCTCCCCCCCACCACCCCCTGCCCCCCACTGCCAACTGAGTCTGCCCCCACAGCAGCAGAGGAGGCAGAGGTTGGTGTGGGCCCTTTGCCCCGCCTCCTTTCCCCAAATCTCCATTTCCACTTCCAGGTCCTAGAGAGCAAAGGATTAGAGCATGCCAAGTCTACTCCAGTGGAAGGAACTGAAGCTCCAGATATTTTTCTTTTCTTTTTTTTTAAGTTGAAGCCCTAAGACCTCTCCTCCTCGTCCTTGTCCTCCTCCTCCTCCTTCTTCTTTTTTTAAATGTATTTTTTATTGATTTCAGAGAGGAAGGGAGAGGGGAGAGGGAGAGAGAGATAGAAACATCAATGATAAGAGAGAATCATTGATTGGCTGCCTCTTGCACGTCCCACACAGGGGGTGGGGCCCGAAACCTGGGCATGTGCCCTGACCGGGAATCGAACCATGACCTCCTGGTTCATAGGTCGATGCTTAACCACTGAGCCATGTCAGCCGGGCTCCGCATTCTTGATGTATAATTAACACCTTATAATTATGATTACTATTAATATGTTTGAACAAGTTTATTTTTTAGAGCAGTTTTAGGTTCTCAGCAGGAGAAAGTATAGAGTACAGTACTGAGTGGAAAGTACAGAGATTTCCCATGGGCTCTCTGCACCCGCACTTGCATCGCCTCCCCCACCACAGTGGCCCATTTGTTACAACCAATGAATGTACATGGACACAGCACAATCACTGAAGTCCATAGTTTACACTAGGGCTCACTCTTGGTGTGGTGCCTTCCATAGGTTTTGACAAATATATAATGACACGTATCCCCCATTATAACATCATACAGAGTTTCTGTGCCCTAAAAGTCCTCTGTGCTCTGCCCAGTTCTCTTCCCCCAAACCCTAACCTCTGGCAACCACCGATCTTTTTACCGTCTCCAGAGTTTGGCCTTTTCCAGAATGCCATGTAGTTGTGATCACAGTGTGCAGCCTTTACAGATCGGCTGACCTTTCACTTAGTTATATGCATTTAAGTTTCCTCTATGTCTTTTTACGGCTTAACAGCTCATTTCTTTTTACCGCTGAATAATATTTCATTGTCTGGATGTACCCGTTTACTTTTCCATTCATCTACGGAGGAACCTCTTGG